ACTCAGGTGTACACAATATCCATATATGAACAGAAACACTTCGGATCTTTTAGAAGGAATAATTACCAACAGATATTCTGGCATCGTGAGTAATTCAAAATGAATTGTCCTGGCAATTCAGCGTTGGTATTCCCAGATTTCTATTCCGATAATTAGGCGGTTTGAAATAGAGCTCTAAAAAAGACTGGCTGTATAGCTGGCCTCGGTTCCGATTTTTTTTCTTGAGTGGGCTCGGCATACTACAGATATTCTTACCCTCTGTTGCCCACTGACCTAAAAAAGGAAGTCCACGTGGAGGACATGCCCCCAGACGTTCAGTAGCGTGTCGTTCGCGGTCGGACTCGGCGGGCCTTCTATTTTAGGCCCCGAAAGCTTTCGTAACCACATTTGTCGCTCTTCCTATCTCCTTGCGGGACACTCTCCATGGGTTCCCTATTCCGCCAAATTTTCTGCTGTTGCATTCGTTCGAGTTCACCAGGACCGGTGAGTCGTGTACTGTTACTTTGGAGTTAACGATATTTAATGAAATGTTTAGCACGAACCAGACGAAACAACCAATCTCATCCGACCAGAGGATTCTGTTCCGTTCGTTCATTCTCTCGTTGAAGTCATCCGTGATTGTTAAGTGGTATGACTCGTTAGTCAAATCCCAAGCTATGTGGTTGATACCCAAAAAATGAAGGAGAGGTTAGGGACGATTGTTAGAGCGAAAGAAGGGTAAGTTCATTCATTTCATAGAAGGTCGCGCCTCATACATACATCGTGGATTTCTGCAGGAAGATGGTGAACGTGAATGCACCGCTGCCTTTCAATTTGCATAACAAATCATTGTACGCTCAATTGGAGGAGTCATCCTCGCGGTCGGAACGTAGCCTCTCAGTAGAGAACAACGGTGTATCGGATACAGTTGGGAGGGCAAGACTTCCTTCGTACTCTCCCACTCGTGGTGGACGTGATCTTTCACCTTCTCTTCAAACCAGCCGGTCGACAACTTCACTTCATCCCGGAGATGCTTCTTATCTACCTCCCGAAGCGGACCCTGATAATGGAAATCGAGGCCCAATACTGAACGTCCGTCTCGTCAATGTAGGTGGTAGTGGGTCAAGCGGAAGAGTCGGACGTTCTATCACGAGAGGAAGGCGTGGTCGTTACTCTTTCGAGCGACCTTCAAACTTAGCCATGGCCCATTTGGAAAACGAGTCGAGTGACATAAAGTCATTTTCAAAATTACCAGATGCAACTCCTCGCGCACACCCATGTTCCGACGCTTCCAGTCAAGAAACTCGTCCTGAAGCGGATACTCTTGGCCAGGACACTCCTCTCGCGATGGAATTCAAGATTCAGGGAGTTGGCAAAATCTCACAGAGCTGGGGAGATTGATCAAGTGTTAGGATTTTTGTTTGGCCCGTGTTGGTTTTTCTTGTGGCTTGTATTTTTTTTCTGCATTGTCACCCGATATCCCTTCCTTTGCATGCGTTTTGTCATGGATCTAAATGTCTGTCTGTCGTTGCTCATACTTATATCCCGCCCCACTCATATTTCTCTCTTTCATATATTCAATTTCGGACATTCACAGGATAATCTGTAGCGTAGTATTGTTTTGATTGCTTCCAGAATTTACTGCAAGCCAACCGAAGGAGAGAGAAATCTGCACCGCCTTTCATCCAAGTAAATTTGGGTAGACCACCAATAAGAATTTGTAGAAAGTAAGTAGCCTCGAGGCTGAAGATATTCCCCTTTACGTAATTGTATTTCGACCCAGCCGCCAATCCTCTTCCAAACTTGAAACCAACCACCTTGCGAGTGTGCGACGGCCCGTGTCTAACATTGCATCCTCAGTTCGACTTTAGCTGCACTGGAAGAGACCCATCCATATGGTCTTGGTATGTTTATGCTTGAATCACGACGGCGTTCATCCTGTTTAATGGTAAACTTATCAGAATCAATGTTTTGAACGTTCAACGTTCAACCTCATGGCCACCACCATGTTCTCCAGTTGCAGCCTCTGGAGCATCGACAATGCCGCGTGCTGTTCTCATTCTCGTCAAGCCAACACGAATTTATATCGGATGCCTAAACATAGAACTGCAGACTTAAACTATTCTTCTCCTCCTACGGATTTTCAGTCATCTAAAACAGAGGAAGCAAGGTTTTCTAGGGGTGGACGTATATTCATCAGGCTCACAACTTCCACTTTTCAAACTTCCATTCGACGCATTTCACGACATGCGGTACACTGCACATTGTTCTCCATCAAAACGAGTACAACTGGTACCAGGTTTATATGTTCCCCTCAACGAAGATGCCATATATATGCTGAATCGTAATAAATAGGTAAAGATTCACAATTAGGTTTTCTCCTATTCGAATGGGTGACTCGGCCTCCATGATCTTCATCGGTAGGATTTCGTAGGAATCTGTTATCTTGATGCTTCGAAGTTGAATTCAATGGCTTCTACCCGGGCTCGGACATCTCAAGCAATCTTTCATCTAGATGCCAATTCCAACAGCTAGAAACTTGCTTTACGAAATTTCGAAGACAGACCTTTTTTGGACGGCATGTGCCGGTAAGGACCATTCAGATTCCATAGACCGTTCTTTGTAAAGCCTTAAGCCTTAATCTTAGGGTTTTAACTACAAGGATTCCATCCACAGACACATTTGATTTCTCAATTTCCAATGCTATTTGGTCCTTGGCAAAGATGTTTGCAATCGCGATTGACCATCTCAAGGTCAACCGTATTAATATTGGACTACACGAGTGAGCCATACTGATTCAGGCGAACATTGCTCTCCGAAGCGGATGCCCCATTGCAAACGTTATATGATATCTATCAATAGCAGTCACAGGAGGTGTTAGAGAACCCCAAAAGAATCAAACTAGGCCACTGCTTATCCGGAATGGAATGGGCCAGGTGTGCTGAGGGATTAAGTAGGCTGTCAGGGAGTGGCCAAGTTGGAAATAGGCGGAATAGCCAATGTAACGGGTAATCAGAAAGACCTAATGTTTCGTTTTCCGCAGACCTCGTCGGACCATTGGATGGATTGGATGACATTGAGAAGCCGTGTCTCCGAGAAACACTTCTCACTGGGAGATAATTATATCGGAAGGCCACTCTGCATTTATGATACTTGAAATTTTACGGAAGGTTCACGCGTCCACGTTCAGCGTTCAAGGATCAAGACATGTCCCTTTGGCTCTCATTCCCTCCAAATGTCCTTTCGACAACTCCTCTTCACTCATGGACCGCGTTCTTCAGACTCGGACTACTGCTTCGGGGCGGAACCACGGTTTACCGTTCCCAACCTTGACACCACCGCAGATCCTTCCGTTTATGGACGTGAGTTGTATGGCCTGTCGGACCGTCTCCTTCCACACCATCAAACACCTGTTTATAAACTAATCAATCATCTTGGGATAGAAATATCAATCCTAAATGTCAGCTTGCTTCCAACTGTCCAAGACTTTTCAATGGTGTTGAAATCCCATTTCATCGATGGATCGAATTTCCAAGTCAGGTCCTTGAACACTTTTACTCCCAATTTTGATGTCTCTTTCTCAGGACACTTCTTGGTATTCCTACTATCTGCAGCGCTTGAGCCACATAGCAATCAGAAATGCCACTCCTGTGCGTCGTGCGCCTTTAAGCTTTACCCGTTGGTTTGGAATCTGCTATATTGCTGCAATACCGGAAATTAGGACGCTCGTATTCTTGGAACGTTTTCTTCAACGTGGCTTCTGCTCTATCTCCCTCGTCCCGGGCTTCCGATATCTGTCGGAAGTAATGTGCTATTATATCTCAGATATATGCCTTGTTGACTCGCGGCGTCCTCCCCAGACAAGAACACAATTCAATCCCATTACTATCGTGTTTCTTCTGACAAATATCAGAGGTGGTAAATTTTATCAAGCATTTGTCATCCTTGATGTACAAGCTGACGACGAATGTAATATAGTGCGCCGTTCCGTCACATCCCAATTATACCCTATCCACCGCACGCCACTCTGAACTTTTCCAGGAATGGATGAGACGAGCGCACTGTCCGCGCCTTGGTCATTTTTCGGCTGATGATCACCAGACTTAAAATGGCAAATAAACCTCCAAATAACTGAAAATTCTTCGATCATACCGGTACCAATAACGTTGCGGTGTATGTGACTGTATTTGCACGTTTAAATTGCATCACTGCTCTGTAAACAGCGCCCACATAGTTAGTAGGTCCTTGTATATGTTTGTTTGACAGAAGTAATCGATTGATCGTGATTTCTACATTTGAACTTCAGATTAATCTTACCCATTCTGCCAACATTGGAATCCTTTTCTTCAATCGCCACATATCTTGAAGGGCCAAGTTGAACATGAAGTCTATCCCTCTCGGAAATATCTACGCATGTCTCTTCAGTCGAGGAGACGGTACTTTCCATTGGGCTATCGTCATTCCTAAACTTGACGGTGAATGCATGAAATACCATGCAGTCTCAGATGACAAACCGTGGCGTTATGTTTGTGCTTCGGATAACCTCCAGAAAGATATCAGGGTCTGCGTAGTCGTTAAACTCGGTGTGTATCGAATGTTCCTATCGTCAATCGGGGCTAACTTCTCACATGATACCCCTCCAGGGAGCTTTGCTAATCGAACATACAAAGAGATCGATGAATTTCTCAAACAAATACCAATGAAGGCCCCTCCAGATGATCTTCCTCAACGGTTCACTTGTCGTATATGGTTCAAAGAGGCCATTCGGGTTTTGAATAAGAGGGGAGTGATCAGATGCACATCTGTGAATTCTCTGGAGACGGAGCTGCGGATGTACGGTGAGGAGCATTGGAGGCTTACAGAGCTTGGGTCGCCCCCCAAATTATACGATTCAGATTATTCTTGTTGACGGACCAGACTATTGGATGAGTCTATGTTGACTGCAACAGCAGCAACAAGTTGAATTTCTGGGCTATGGTGTTTGACTCTGTGTTTAGATACTACTTATGTTTCTCACCATCTCCCGTTTAGCTCAGTGGTAGAGCGCTTCACTAGTAACCGCAATATTCGGCCTATGAAGAGGTCAGTCGTTCAAGTCGGCTAATGGGAATTTTTTATTTGTGTACAGTACGCCATCCCTAAGACTCAGGATCTGTGCAGATAGCAGAAGATTTTCAAGTCAGTAAATAAGTGATACATACTCATAGTTTTCGAGTTCTGAGGAGGCATTATTGTGATCTCAGATAACATACTCTTTCCACTGGCGTCTCCCGTTTAGCTCAGTGGTAGAGCGCTTCACTAGTATCCACTATGTTTGGTCTATGAAGAGGTCAGTCGTTCAAGTCGGCTAATGGGAATTTTTCTCTCTACATTCTCTGTATCATATTTTCGTTTTACTTCGAAATCGAGATTTCATGAACGTCTAGGTGATACGTCACGTGTGACGCTGATACGTGTGACACGATTGAACTTCCAGGAGCAGGCGCCTACCGCTCTCCTATTCTAATATCGCATTTTGACTCTACTCTCACCTTAGACACGGAACATGGCATCAGGGAGGAGAACTGCAGGGACTCCAATACCACCCACACCTTATGCGAAGCCTACAATTAGCATGGAGGAATGGGAAGCAAGAGCACCTCTTGATGAGATCGAAACGCGAAGTGTAAATCTGGTGAAAGCAGCTGGCGAACAGAGTACATTACCTTCGAAGGTGCGCAACATACATATCTATGCTCTATGTCACCGTTATTAGTATACTAAAATATTGTTAAGTTTAGTGTTGATGATCCAAACGTACCTTCGCGACCTTCATCTCCTGCTATACGGAATAAACTGTATCCAATATCTCGTCCGACTACACCTAGTCATTCAGCAGCGCAATCAGCTACTCGTTTGGCTTCTACACATCCTCTTCATCCCAAATACCCTATACAGACACCTCAACAGTTCTACGACTGGTTTTCGTTGATAGATCGCTCAGTCGCTCATAGTCAGGAAGCGCACTTTCGTGCACATCTATCAACTGTTGCAGACCACCTTGATACATGCGACAGGCTATTACAGAGGTTGGATGAGGTAGATGCCGAAGTGGCTGATATGTTGCAAGGATGGAAAAGCGTAGAGGATGGAGGCCGAAGTTTGAAGGATGCTTGCGAACAACTCCTAGATGAACGAGTGAGTACATATTTCTATCACTTATGGAATGCAGAAGCTAACATGAACTCGTTTCTAGGATAATCTCCTGAGGATGACAGAAGCTATCGGAAACCGGCTTGAATATTTCCAAGAGTTGGAACAGGCAACACGCATGTTGAATCACCCTGGAGAGTCCCTCGTCCTCCAAACAGATTTCATCTATATGGTGGAAAGAGTTGATATTTGTATTGACTTCATGAAATCTCATGTAAGTTGTGTCCCCTTTTTGACTTGATTTAAGCTATCTGACTGATGCGGTATTCAAAGCGACATTTCAAAGAAGCAGAAATTTACTTGCTTAGATTTCAACAATGTATGACTAGGGCCATGACCTTGATCAAAATGTACTTTGTTGGATCGCTGCGAGCTCTGACAGCCGACATATCTAAACGAATGTCTGAACGGGTATGTCAATTGTGATAGTTATCTTCACCGTGAAGGTTTATCCAGTTCACTGCAGGATATCTCGTCAACAGCTCAATCACATCTCCTGTACACCCGATTTACGACAGTCTCCACGCAACTTGCACCCTTACTGGCGGAGCTGGAACGAAGAGCACATGCATACCCTGAAGAATTATCGTCGCTATTATCTGAATGTCATACGGCTTATTTCGCATCTCGGAAAGCGTTACTCGTTGGTAGACTCATGGAGGAGATTAAAGGGCTAGATCCTGCTCATACAGAACTTGTGGAACTGGTTCGTAGTTTTCCGTGATTTTCTACTCTGCTACTAAGTTCTAATAGGAATTTCCTTACAGACAAGAGCTGGTTGCAGTTACTTGAAACAATTATGCACTGACGAATTCGATCTATTCAAGGCGTTCTTTAATTCGGGTGAAGAGCAACTATAGTAAGCCGGTCACAGTCTTATTTAATCAGCCCCTTTCTCAAGTCCGTTTCAGCCAATATCTCGAAAATCTGTGCGACTACCTCTATGATGATCTTCGCCCACGTATTCTGCATGAGCCTCGTCTTTCCGCGCTATGTGAAGTATGCACAGTGCTTCAAGCTCTCATGGTTTTGGATGTCCCCGATTACGGTTCATATTCGGACGAAGAAGAAGACGAGGATGATATGGATCGTCCCAATGGCAGCCACAAACGTGGCTTGCGCACGCTGCATATTAGCCATCTCCTTCAGATGGTTCTTCAGGATGCTCAAACGAGGTTGTTCTTCAAAGCCCAATCTGTGATCCAGTCGGATATCAGGTATTTCGTACCTAAAGCTGAGGATTTGGCTTACCCTGAGAAATTGGTTGGTATGTACATAAATGTCAGAATCGCCTTCGCTATTGATGGACTAAGATCTCTAATAGCTGCGAGGAAACCGGTATCTGGAACGGAGATCAAGGAGAAGGAAAGCGTTAGCCAATTGTTCCATTTCAAGTCATTAGATCGACAAGATACTTGGTATCCAACACTTCGCAAGACGGTCTGGGTTCTTTCGCAACTTCACGACTTCGTTAACGTTCGTTACCGTACTCGTTATCCCAAAACGAAGCTGACTTTTTATTTACTTGCAGCCAGCTATCTTCGATGATATTGCTCAGGAGGGAGTGAACTTATGTCGACAATCGCTTGTAGCTGCTTCCGAGAATTTGAAAGCGAAAAATCCACCAGCATCGACGTTGGATGGACAATTGTTCCTTGTACGGCATCTGCTGATATTGAAGGAGATGACTACAAATCTGGACTTTGCTCAAAGAGATGACCGGAAAGTCGACCTTAGTGGGGTCACAGGCAAGTTTTCGTTGCACTCACCCCTCCGTCCGCGTGGCTAAGCTTCAAAATATCCAGATACACTTGCTTCCATGTTGGGTAAGACTACCTCGCTTTTGCCAAGTGCACTGTTTGCATCTTTGGGGATGCCTCGGGAAGAGAATCTGACCGATGTCAAACATGTATGCCTGTCATTCTGTTTCTGGAATAACAACTCATCTTTCATTATAGGGTATCGATCATGAACTCAAACGCGCATGTGAAGATGTTATCGCATCATGTTCAGATGGAGTCTGCAAGCCTCTCCGAAGCTTCCTAGCTTCCACTCCAGTAGGCACCACAACCAACACTCAAACCCTCGCATCCTCTGTCTCATCTGTGTTCAACGCGTTCCAAGAATCCATACAACGTGATTTGCATTCTTCGGTTACTCGTTTACGACTCTATTTGGAAGATGATAGAACTGTAGGTGTTCTTGTGAAACATGTTCAAGACAGGATATTGGACGAATACGTCGAATTCAGAGAAGTGGTTACGAAGGTTGGCAGTGGACAAATTGGTAACATCGCGGACGAAGAAAGCATTAGTATGCTGTTGCAGAGTGTTTGTTCTCAGAATTTCGCTGCGAGTGGTAGTACTAGTGCACTTGGCTCTCGGTGATTTGTTTCTATCATTAAATGGTTTTGGGATTTGAATGGTAATACAGGAACGAAACAGTCTGTACTCCACCAACATGAAACTAGAAGGAGGAGCACCATTTAATTTTGTAGTCCCTCACATGCTTCATGTGTCTATCACGCAGCGACGGTTGAATAGTCTTTGTCACGGACATAAACGAAAACAATTCCTACCTTTTTTCCGCCACATACGTTTCGAACTGAGCATGGGACTCAGACGTACGCAACTGGCCCAGTTCATCTGACTCTTCTGCAAGAATCGTGTCTCCACAACGTTGAACGTTGAAACATTGCGCGACAGGAAAACCGGTATGTCTTCATTTATATATTACAACCATTGAGTTGAACTCAAGCAGCATATATATCTTGGAGTTCCGTTAGTACGCCACATCATGGCCACTACGGATGCAGACTACCGGGATGCATCAGAACTATTCACACTTCATCCATATCAAGCCGCAGAAAAGCTGCTCGCGTTACATAGAAGTAAAGATGAAAGAATAGTCATTTATCTTGAGACGTTGTTTGTTGGCATGGATACTGCTGATACTGACCCGAGTATTAGGATCCAGGACGCTGAACTAATTTCGTTAATTTTGAATGGATTACCGCTAGCTCTTCTCGAAATTGTTTGCGACCCTAATTTATTTCCGAACCCTGGAGCTCCTACAAGATGCAAAGATCCCGAACCTGGCCTAGACGGTTTTACTCACCTTTCTCCTGAATTCGTATGTTATTCAAATTCCTACCTCAGTATCTCGACTGATTGACACCTTTCTTCACGAACAGAGTTATCTTGTCTGTTCATTATCGTCATTCATTTTCATCTCTAAAGTTCTTAAGGATATTATCTTATTGCCGGCCACCAAACTCGAGTCGTTTTCTCCAATGCTTCTACAAGTGACTCGAGAAGTCCAACAACATGCTCGTACATTCTTCGATGCCGTTCCGAAGTTCTGGTCTTCACTCTGGTTCGAAATCGAGAAAAGAGGTGGATACACTAATGTTGATCCAACTCTTTCAGAAGATTCTGCTGTTTATTGTCAATTATATAAGTTCTTGATGGGTTTGTTCGACATAACCAGCTTCATAATTGAAGAAACCCGTCGCAATAAGGGGTACGCTGTTCAATTTTCGACTACACGATATATAAATGACACTTTCTTGGTAGTGACGAAAAGCTATATATGACTGAAGACATGAAGTATCTTGGCCATATCCTTCTATTTCTTTGGCTCTTTCTGGAAGACGAGACGGCTAGATGCTCCTCGATGCTGTATTTTTTGGAGCTCGGACATAAAGAAAGTGAAGCAAGAGTGCACTGCATCCTTGAAGAAATCTTTCTCCCTTCCAAAATCTCCTGTATCATCATAGATCAGATTATTCTGGATCTCCGTTGTTCAAGTCCAAGCACGAAGAATCCAATTCTACGTGGTCATACGATAAACACGGCCGCTTTGCATTTCTTTGGATTTATATCATCTTCGGCATCTATCCTTCCCTCAAATTTTCAGAAGGAATCTCAGGAACTCCTTGGAAATCTCATCCGAGTTATCACTTTGTCATGTCGGAAACAACTTTGCATTGACGATTTCAACGGGGACGAAGGTGCAGTTAGAATGATAGGCACTATAGACGCAATCACGGGACTGGGGTAAGTTTCTGTGATGACATGATTTGTGCGACGCCAGCCTTTGATTATTATAATTCTATCTAGGGTCGTGCTTGAGCAAAGTGATGTGAAATCAGACTACATGGCGA